TGAAAATTACGGTACTACGTCATACCTAAAAACGCGTGGTCGTCCGGCCGCGAGCAACGGGTCGCCCTTTCCGGAGGTACAGTGGAGGACGGCGGGCGTGCCACTCTGACGCGTGTCACCCCCCCACCCAACTTCCCCGCCCCCCCCCCCCTCCCCCCCCCCCCCCCCCCCCCCCAGTTTATGCCCCCCGTTTAGGCCCTTCCTCGCGGCGACAGTCTGCGGATGCCAGGTCGATTAATATTTTTTTAAGAATCCATCCGCAGACTGTCGCCACGGAGCGGCGTTAACGGGGGGAAAGGGGGGAGGTGTTTAACACGCTTCACAGTGATACACCTGCCGTCCGCCACTGCGCCTCCGAAAAGGGAGGCTCAGTATCATTGCAAAAAAAAGAAATGTATATCAAATCAATATGATACGCCTTCGTACTTTCAGTGACTGGTGGCGCCGAGATGCGCAACGCACATCTGTCCAAGTAAATAAGGCTATGTGTGGGCATGTTCATGACATGGTTATTGCCATTTGCTTGGGGTCATTTATCTTGGACCCTTTAATTTAATTTGGCAATTTTTATGGAAGAAAAATGCCAGCTTTCACTTGATGGGCCCGCCACTTGTAATCTGATAACGCTAAAGGTCCCTCGATAGAAGCCTCCTTTGGCTGCTGAAGTACACCCCCTGTAGGTCGCTGGAGGGGGGGGGGGGGTGGTTCCTATTTGGGCTGCCCAAGTTGGCCTCTCGTGGGTTCCGTGAGGGCAACGTATGTGGGCTTCCCAAGTAGGCCCTCTTTAGGTCCCACGGGGGGAAACCGAGGTGGGCTGCCCAAGTAGTCCCGCTTTTGGTCCCACGAGGGAAGCCCAATGGGCAGCCGAAAACGGGCTGACTTGGGCCCGGGCCCAACTTGCACAAGCGACGTGGAACCCATGTGGGTTGCCCACGTCGGACCCCTTCAGTTCCCGGTAAGCATAAGTTCATATAACAAATAGTTTATTTTCGATTTGGCTAGCATTGTAGCACTTCATCAGTGCCAATGCAGGGCTGATTTCCCACATGGCCTAGGATGGACCATGGTTATATTACTCAAGTATAAATTTCTTTGAAGAAATCAGGCCGAAACACTATCATCTCTGTTTAAGATTACCTGCGTTATTTTACAACACCTTTCAAATTTTAAAAATGACAAAAAAGTTGATATCCGTCGAATAATACATTGATCAGTAAACTTAAAAACTTTATTTGTTCTTCGTGATTCAGCAGATTTTTCATCCACGCTGTCGACCTGCTTTTTCACTATGTATCGGTGCAATTGTCACTCCATCCGTTTATTTTTCTGTACACTAGGGTCAGCGGGTACGGCCGTGAACAATGGGAATCCCCTCTGTGCGTCAGTTCGGTCGTTTTGCCGCCGAACCTGGCTGAAAGTAATGACGAACATGACCGGATGCTGTATAGGTGTTTCGAACTAATCCGCAACTTTTACTCGAACCCCCTTCGTATTTTACAAACTGGCTCATAAGAACCACTGTTTTATTGGTTGTGCGCTACAACGGGCACATTTGTATCATAAAATTAGGCAAAAAAAAACATAACACATCAAAACATGCGCGAGCCCGCTGAGACCGAAACCAATTAAAGGAGCTGTGCAACGATTTTAACGTTGAAAGAATTGGCATCTTCTACTTTTGATATTGTTCACCTTGTCACAAATGACGGAAAACACACCACCTCTCATTGAAATGTTGAAATTCCGCCGCGTAATAGCCAGGCAAAAATTAGAATATTCCCCGACCTGCAGCCGCGAGCGGCGGCCATGAGAAACACGCGGTATGGCGTCAGGGGGGGTCTTGTAGAAAGATAGCAAGTTGTGTGAGTCCCTGCTCAATAAAAGGTAACTTTTCTATAAATCTTGTCCTTCCAACATAAATATAAATGCGTGAAACACCTGGTATCATCGACAAAACTTTTATTATACGGAGTTTTAGTGACGCCATCTATCCTATATCCACAAAACCGTCAGCTCTATCTGCTACTGCGAACAGCCGCCAGAAGCCGGAGGGGGAGGGGGGCAGGGCCGGATGGAAATGGCCGGACCCGGACCCGGATAAGACTTTCCTCCTTTCACCATATTATTCGCGCTGCGCCCGACAGCACGTGGTCACGCCGCCGCGAGCGGATGAGTTCTTGCTGTTCACTGATGGCTTTAGAAAAAGAACGGCAGTTTGATACTTTAGACCCATGTTACGGATAAAAAAAAATAGGACGCGGGATGGCCAGAAAAACGCATTTTTCGTTTAAGGCTCATCAAATTATGAGGCGCTGGAGAAATGCGGCCTTCTGCGTTAAGTCCTTATTTCGAACTCTTTTTGTTCGCCTTCCGCCCATTGAAAAGCATGCAGGAAGGGCCTTAGAACGCACCTGGTATCGCTGCGCCGCAGCGTTCTTCCGCAACATAAAGTTCGTCTGCTTTCCTCGCCGCCACCATGACAACGAACGCCGAATGAAGCCAGCAACAGCTGACGCCATTTTACGAATGCCGTCTGCTAGCCAAAGCCGAACGCGGTGTGTCAGATCAACCGCCTCCGCCGGTGCGCCGCTAGCAAAGCCGACAAAGCTGAGACACGCCGACGGCGATCGAGCAAGCAACAAAATCGCGGGACGACTGCAAATGCGGCATTTATTCGGATCAAAGGTCGCCTTCGCCGGTGCGCCGCTTGCAAAGACGACGAAGCTGAGGCACGCCGACGGCGAATGCGCGAGCAACAGCACCGCGGGACGACTGCAACTGCGGCATTTATTCGGATCAAAGGCGCGAAATAAGCAGGAACAATTTCTATTTGAATCATAACACGCGATATCCAAGTTGGGGACCACGTATACCTTTGCTGGGTCTTTCCTGTGAACTTTTTACAGAGACACGGGCTGCCGCTTTCAAAACACAGCTCCGTTTGCAAAATATCGGGGCCCTGAAAAGGGCCGTTTAGACTGCTACCAGAACCTATAACTGACGTAACGAGCACTTGACGAGCGGTTGGCGCATAAGTCGTCTTTATGCACGCAGGCGGGCGACGGGCTCAGCGCAGCGGATCACTCAGTCACCGGGGCCGTCAGAATCCTCGTCCTCCGCACTATAGGGAAGGTCCCTGTCTGCGTCGGGGCTGTAGATTTTGGCGGTTACGGCGACGAACGACTGGAATCTATCAGTGTGTCCGAGCGCCTTCTCTCTCCTCCAAAACATGAACTTTGCAAGGGAACCAGTGAAATGGTGGCTCTCGCGCCGTCCAGATGGAAGAGAGTTCTTAACGTGGGCCCAGGTGCCCTCCATCGTATTGGTGTGCGCACCAGTGTTCGGGTCGACAAAGTGCAGCTAGTTAACGGTGAGGTGCGTGAAGCGAGCGTCATCTGCAAGCCTGCGATAGCCAGCCCAACAAGCATTGATTATTCTTGTTCCAGAGCGGACCCACTCGGCTATTAGCCCTAGCAGGGTTTTAGCGTCACGGGTCTCCACGGGAACAAGAAAGCAGCACCCGCTGCAACGCGCCACATTGCCGAAAACCCACTGGCCAGGCCTTAAATACCCGCGATGGTACTTTCGTCGCCCGAACATACTCTCGTCTAGTTCTACAGTCACGCTTTCGCCGCCAATCATCTCTGAATGCGTAAAGACGGCATTTACCACAACCTAAGCTAATAATGCTGAAGAAGTTCCGTCTCCAGCACACGCGTTGCATTGAGACCTATACACACATGTGGGTTCGAACGCGATCGAGTGCAGAATGGAGTCCTTGCTGCGTGGAACGGATTCTTGCGGCATAACAGGCGCCGTCGTGCAGCCCGACGTAACGCGTTGCAAGAGAGTAGAACCGTGCTCAACTTCTAAAGCGGCTGCGCTTATGCCTGGTGTTGCGGGAACCAATCAGAAGGCGAGAAAATATCAAGAAGGTCACGTGCTCACCCTCGCCCGTCTGCGATGTGCATCCGGCTCCCCTTTTGCTTTTTGAGGAGGGGGGAGGACCACGGGAGATGGTTATTCCGATGCTTAGATGGTTCAAGCTGGACAGAAGTGGTGGAAACCAGCGGAACCATCCCAAAAGACCGGCTACGTCGACGCTGCCGCCGGGCGCCGCCATGATGCCGCGAATGTCGCCTACTATTGGTGAGCCGCAAACAACTATACATACATTTTTTGCTCAAACGTTCTCCACAACATTCTGCAGCTGCCCGCCGCAACTGAACTCACCGGCTCGAACGCAAATGTGTGTGTTGGGTCTTTACGCCGGGCTTTGGCTGCACGTACGACGAAATCGAGTCCAATCAAAGGTAGAAAATTTGCGCTGGGAGCATAGCCTTTACTCCATTATTAACCTGTTAACGACATTTTACTACTCTTTAACATCACAGCGCAATTATTTGACTGTGGTTGATAGCTCGTTCACAAGCTAAGATACATTTAGCGTGTTCCGTATTAGTTTGGTGAGAACATTAAACTACACGACAAAACGCGATATCATTTAAGCACTTTCTTCTATTTTACACATACAGAGTAGCGATGAAATTTAAATGTTAACAACAAGGTGTTACCAACAAATGCTTAATATGTGCATTCGAACAAACTAGTACTTAGAAAGGTAGTATTTAATAAAAATATGAAAACAAAACCAAGGTTAACTTTGTAGTGCTTTGTACCTACAGGCTACTAATTGGTCGACGTTTAAAGGAGTAGGTGCAAATATGGACCAAAATACAGAACCGTCATTCCAAAGTATTTTTACACAGAAAGGTCTTTGTCGTTTAGCTCACGTTTTATTAGCAAAATGACATTTAGAGATTAACAACCTGGATTCTCTGTACATGAATGGCGAGTGTGATAAAATGGTAATTTTTGTTTTATTTCTATTACATCGAGAGAATAAGTGAAAGAAATCACTCTGTCCTTTCCTGCTTGCCAATGCGAATATTATTGTCATAAAATAGACACAGCATTAAAACTCTTTTTCTTTCTTGCAGCTTATGACCGTGTTTACAAAATATCCAAGCAAGGTTCTGAGTGCCGGGCAATAAAAATTAAGAAGCTTAAATTTGATCCTCAAATGATTCTGGTACCATCTTACATCTCATCTATGACTCCAAAGACATTTTTCACTGGTCCTGTAGAGTCTGCGAGGCTAAATTACACGAAAGTTGTAAGTGCGTTTTAGATGTGCGGTTTTATCGGTTAGTGATGCGTCACAAGTCATTTATTAACACAGACGAGATGAATACTAGAGGTCCATAGAATATCTTGACAAGGGCTGATTCTTTTTTGCGTTCACGTTACAGTAGCTGCTGAAGACACGAATACTTTGAGTGGACGTACCTCTATGGCTCCTTTTTATTGTACAATTCGTACCACCCAGTCCTCTATAAGAAAACAATATTAGAGAATAGGTGCGTTAACAGCGTTGTACACCAGGTTAGAAAATTAATGATTTAAAGCAAGGCGTGCAAAAGGAAAAACTGGCGTTTAAAAATGGGGGATTGTTTTAAATACCCATTTTACAAATCTAATAATTATTTCAGAATTGTCTTACTACACTGAAAGCCATTATATGGCAGGGTGATTCTGTGTAAAGCCTATCGAACGTCTACCAAACCTTTGTGTCTCCCGAATAGACCTCTCTCACAATCGAAGTGATCCTAGCGGCCAGATGCCAGGCGAAGCATTTTGGGTACTGGTTGGCCGCACTGATCTCTATTATAGTGGCCTGGGTCGCGCGGATCGGGAGCCCGTCGGTGGCGCCACCGGCGGCCATTGCTTTATGCTAGGAAATATACGGAAGTCTATGGGAGAGACACACAAAAGTAGGGACATCGATGCTTGTACGCGGTGCTTGAAGGCGAGAACGTATTTTAGGATGTGCTGCTATCGTTATATCGGGTGTTTGGAAATCGTATCGATATTTGTCAAGCGTTCGAACGCCAATTAAAAAAAATCAAAACGTGCCGGAGCACCACCTACTTTGCCCGCCTCGCTTGCTCTCGTGGTGGAGTGAACAAAGGAACTTGCCTTGATTAAGACCGTTCTTGAAGAAGCCCAGAATTTGATGAATGTCAAAGAAGTTTCATCTTGGCAGCGGCTTTTCGGAAGTGAGCGAATACCGCGTAGAAAAGCCTAAAAGCTTGTCTTCTGCTAAACACAACTAATCGAAACCGCCACCGACTCCGCGATAACTCCAGGTAACTCTTGTCTCATTGAGCTGCACTACAGTTTTTTGCCCAGTGGAGTCACTCTTGACCACAAAACATTTATTTATAAAAACTGTGAGAGCTATCAGATTTAATGTTTGTGCACAAGATGTTCTACGGGCTTCACAAAAAGCAGCCGAAAAGTTTCATTGCCGACAACAACTTCGATATGGGGGAACGGCACTTTATTTCGTTTTTTCCTATAGATTTCCATGCATTGGTTAGTGTCAAGTAAACAATTGGGTTGTGTGTGTGTTTATACAGCCTAGAACTTGGTCTGCCTCACAGGGGCGACGAGTCTCCCAGCTGTAGATGAGAAATTTAGCCAGTGCGGTACAGCCGCTAGCCTGGGGTCTTTAACGTGCATCACGCAGTAGTGATACACGACCGCACGCCGGTACGATGCTCATCCAGATCGAAACGGGCAGGGGTAGGGTGCCTCAATGTCCTTCTGTTTAGGGTGATGCCACCCTTTGTAGTACCCGATGCCGACAGCACGCGCTCACGGGTAATATACAAAGAAATCGACGAAAACAAAATGTCGCCATAGCACAGTCAGCGCCACAAGCGCGTGCAGGGACACGCTCTTTCACGCGCTTCTGAACAAAAAATAAAAATAAAAGCGTGAGACAAAATGGCCAGATGTCTCCACCCTAAGCAAAGCGCACATGAAGGCACCCTAGGCAGGGGTGGAGATAGAACCCAGGATCCCTGGGTTCTGCAGCGCGAGCTTTCGCTCCACGTGCTCCGAGCTGGTGTGCGCTAGACCACTCGGCCACCGATCCCCCTTAGTGTCAAGTGATGGCTACCGGTGGTGTCAATCGACACCAATAAGAAAATCCTCGCTCTGCGATACAGCCTATATATGATAGAGATCAATGGTTGGCCTCTAGCTTTCGGTTTTGAATGGCCCACCTCACGTCACGAAAGAAGTCACGACCAAATGCAGTGCTTGTTCGAATATCCGATTTTCCTTAAATGTATAATACTCTATATCCCGTTTACCCATAAGATGACACTGGAGTGGGAGCTACTCGCTCGTCGGAACAACAAACAGCCCCATTTTGGTTAACTCGCCCCGCTTCCAGCTCGTGGGTATGAGGCGAAAGATAGATCTGTGATTGTTCCAACGAGGACGTTACTTCCGCCGCACTCTCGGTATAGACGTTGCCTATTGACACGGATGGAATGATGGGGCACGTTTTTTCGGGCTCCCGACGTGCTGAGGTTTGTACGCAAGGAAACACAGGAAAGTTATAGCACGTGGAAGAAGAGGTATACTGGGCCGGTCATCCTCTTCCATTGGCTCCACAATGTCTTAGCTTCCTAAATGATCTGTGTGCCTGGAGGGACATGTGAAGGCCCGTTCACACGATGCATTTTTCCCGCGCATCTAGTGTCGCGAAACGTAATTTCGCGAAATGGTTGCGCCTTCTGAACGAGTCCGAAAAGGACGCGCGCATTTAAAAAAAGTTGCGCGCACACCTCGCTTCTGGACCGAGCTTTTGCTGAAACTTTGCCGAGTCCTGTCAATCACTCTGAGGGCCCCGCCAATGGCCGCTCAGAAACGCTCTCACGTCGCCTTTGAGGGGGGAGCGAGCTGTTTGAGAAGACCACTTCACTGCCGGTGTTGTAGCCGAGCTAAATCCGAAAAAAAAAAAAAAAAAACGAAACCGCGAACGATGGATACTGCCGGCGCTTCCGCAAGCACATCAAGCACCACTGAAGGAAAAGTGAATAGCATATCGGAACAAAATCCAGCGATGGACGAAGACGTAATTGGTGATGATGATAATTCGCGTCTATTTTTAGTCATAATTAAGAAATAAAATTTTGAGACAAGGAAACAAAAAGGGTCGACGTACACAGTACCGTCTCAAAACCAGCACAGCGTACAGCTCTCATTTACTTCCACAACAGTCTTCTTCTTTGTCATCCTCCATCCAAATTATACATATTCAACAGTAAATAAAGTAAATGACAGTAAATGACAATTCAACAACTAGTAAATGACAATTTAAGAGTAAACTAAGTAATTGAAAGTAAATGACAGACGTATGCTGTGCTGGTTTTAAGACGGTGGGGTGTATATCCCTTTTTGTTTCCTTGTCTTAAGGTTTTATTTCTTAATTATGATTGTTCACCAGCTCGCCTGCGTTTTGACTCTAATACCCCTGTTATACCCCTGTTACACGGGCACAGTTAACCGCGGTTAACTCAGCTTTAACTGCGGTTACGTGGCAGCACAGGTGCCGCACTATACCCTCGGAAAGCTATTTCAAAAGAAGTGAAGAGAGCGCGTGCACTGCTTTGGTGGGTGCTCAAGATGCTCAAGCGCACGTTCGCCCATAGCTCTGACTGCATCGCCGCAGAATGTTGTCGGCAAGTATTGTGCGCTAATTGCGGTTTAGCGTAACTGCAGTTAAGTGTGCTCGTGTAACAGGGGTATTACACGAGCACACTTAACTGCAGTTACGCTAAACCACAATTAGCGCACAAAACTTCCCGACAACATTCTGCGGCGATGCAGTCGGAGCTACGGGCGAACGTGCGCTTGAGCATCTTCAGCACCCATCAAAGCAGTGCACGCGCTCTCTTCACTTCTTTTGATATAGCTGTCCGAGGGTATAGTGCGGCATCTGTGCTGCCACGTAACCGCAGTTAAAGCTGGGTTAACCGCGGTTAAGTGTGCCCGTGTAACAGGGGTATTAGAGTGTGGCGGGAAATGGAGAACACGACGCTGAATGGCTAATGATGATAATGATGATGTTGGCTTTCAACTGAAGCGCCACTTTATGGTCAACACCGAAACTATTTTCGCGAGTCAAAACGTCATCGTTGTTGCACGTGAAGCGGTACGTGTGAACGAGCACATTTCGCGAAACTTGGGTGTCGCGAAACTGTTGCGCGCCTAAAAGATGCATCGTGTGAACAGACCTTGACTCTGGAGTGGCAGTCAGGCAGTCAGGGAGGCATGAATGCGGCACGCCATCTTCCTATTCCTTGCTAAACCTAGGCAGGCCTTTACGGCCGTTGGAGGTCTGTGTTTCAAAGGGGGTTCTCATGAAGATGAATGGGTGCAATGCAAGCGAGGGCCGACTTAATTTTTATGCAGAGCTGAGATGCACTATTTGTGAGCCGGGCAGTAGAAACCGAAACCATGCCCCTCGTTTCCATGGCGTACCAGGTCTCACAATGCAACGCGCGCAGTGTTGCGTGCAGAGATTTTTGGAATAATCTATTAACATCACCTATATACACGGTATTTTTTTTTTTGGCCATGCGTCTCGCTTTTGCACTCCCGCAGCTATCAAAATTCGCCGCGTGATAGCTAGAAAAACGTTTTCCACAACATCAAACAATTTATCTGGACTAAATTAACAACGAACTACAAATCTCAAATAAAAAAAATGCAAGTTCAAAAAAATAATAGCGAAAAAATTGGTGCCAAATTATATGTACTTAAGTCTCTAATTGCTTCTTGATACGGGTGCCCTAATTTCCGCCGCGGTCGGTAAAGGTATACTTCAGGAATGAATAATTGATTTGTAGAGTTTTTTTTTTTTATTTTTTCCTTAAAAAGACGCTTTTCATATTGGTATATATTTGAATGTGCTTAAATATTAGTGCAGGTGTTTCCATCCACATTTTATGGAAAATGTGGGGATGGTCAATGGTTTTCTGTAACCCTAACGTGTGGCGTGCTACAGCAGAAAGTATAACTATCTTCTTTAACTTTTGCCACATGGTGAGTTTACGTTACAAAATTTAGTATTGCAGTTGTGCACGTAAAATACGTGTTTGGGAGATCTTTTATATTGGAACGTCCAGTCGCCAATTATTTTAGCCAGTTTCATGTTGTAAACACTTAATATGTTACGGCATGCAATATTTTATTCAGGTGACAGACATACAGCATAATTGAACAGTGCTGCACACTAACAAAAAATGGAGGGGACAAACGGAAGTAAAAGATATTAGCTCAGTTGCCGATACCTTGCTTGTACTATAATAAACATATTTCCTATACATGCATTACCGCAAAATTACCCTTCCTTTGTAGACTTTCAAGGCAGGCGTTCCATGCCATTTGTGGAGCATGCTGCGAAGTGACTGGCCTCCTGGCCTCAAATATGTCCAGAGTCTGTGGCAGTGGTGCTTCGTGAATAAGGTGAGACACTGATTGACCTAATATTTTGTTAATTTCTCTCTAGTGAAAATTCGGATTGTTAGTCAAACACGGCTTGCTTGAAATCAAGATTGTTTTTTTACGTTTATTAATTATTACTGAATAATTCCGAACACGCAGCAGCTGCTACGTTGTGCGTAAATCACCGAATACGTGCAGATATTAAGCACGATAAGCCTAGGTATGTTAATTTGATACGACAGAAGGGTCATGACAGGCATTGATCACAAGATAAGTTTTGGACCTCTGCGATATTTTTCAATTGGAACATAATAAAGTGCCTCTTCAGAGTTTTCAGAATTCTTTTTTTTAAGTTCCGTCTTTTTATCCTTATATTAGATGTTGGGTTTATTTGTTGACGATTGTCTTTAGAATTGTCCAGTGCAGGCCAATGAACCTTTTCTAGTAAGCGTCAGCGCATGCGTACACTTTTTGCGTAGGCCTTTAATCCTGCCGTTGTCCTTTTTGCAAGGCACCGTCCCGCATGACCAATATTGTCAGCATCTTGACGCTTCGTTTTTTAGTATCGGTAATATGGGGTATAGAAAGCACTGAAACCAAATACATCGGCACGATGCCAAAGCGTTCTGACGGGCGCATGTTTGTTTGTTTGTTTGTTTATTTTGGGGTGAATAGAAAGGGAGGGGGGGGCAGGATATATGTGGGCCTTCAGTCAGGGGCAAGTCGCTACCTGGCTTTTTGGGAGAAGGGTAAATAAAGGAAAAACGAAAAAGAAATGGTTATGTACAAGTTTGAAAATCACATGCATTGTAGTCCAAAGGGCAACGGGCTTGTTTAGAATTGGGCTGGTGAGAAAATGGGTCCACAGCGAGCAGGAAGATAGCATCCGCTGTTATCGCAGTGCCGATTTGAGATGGTGAAGACCGTCAATGTACCGCGAAGACTGAGGCATGTTTGGCAGCCCTTGATTTGTAGTTCGCAGACAACTCCACACACGGCGCTCGTTACTCAGAAAAGGTTCATTCCACAACTGTTAATCTGACATAACAAACGTCGAATTTCTATTTTTCAGGATTTTTTTGCTGAAGCCAGTAATATAAACTCGTCGCAAATGATCAGTCTTGACATCACCATTAAAGATGTGAGTTATGCATATGTATCTGCGCATCTGAATTTCAGTGAATGCATGTTTCTGCGCTGGTTTCTTTAAAACAATAGGCACCGAAATAACGAGGGCGGAAGAAAAGGACGCCACTATCATGCGTTCGTTGTGTCCCCCAACTTCGTCACTCTGCCTTGGTACTTTCAGTCTGAAGAAGTTTCGGAATTAATCATTTTATTCCGCGAATATTTGGTTTACGTAAAATAGCTAATGACAGGCTCTTCTCACTATTTGTTTATTTATCCCAATTTTTTAACTTATGTAAGCCAACAACGGTCAAGCTTCATGTACTGCATAGGCGGTTCACACTTAGCTATTCATGAAAAGCCACAGGCAGAGACCTTTTAAAATAGAGTGTAAATAAATATCCCTGAAATTGCTGAAAAGCTTTCTTTGACAATCTGCCAATTAAGCAGGTTATTTCATCTTAATTTGTTCTGAGAACGTTAAGGAAGTGAACTTAGTCATCTAACGCATTGACATATAAGCCAAAAAAAATAACCGGAAACATATAGTTATAGTGAGGTACCCTTATTTGAAACCTAAATACCGTCGCAGAAAATATATACTCTTTGAACGCACACTTGACCTTGCAGTAGAAGCACCTTCGCTTGGCCGTACATTATGCTTTTAGTCATTCTGCTAGTAGCATCATGCCTTCTGCACGTCGCAAAACTGTCATTGATTACCGCTACAGCTACGTCACTGCAATGTGTTTGATTACGGTAGTCATCCCGAGGTAATCGAAAACTATCACAAAAGTGCTCTACGCCTTACTATCATAACTTCATGTCACCGTGACAAAATACATGTACTAGAGGAACTAATGTTTGAGGCCCGACCCGGCCCAGGCCCGCTGACTAAGTCTTACCCGACACGAGCCCGGTCCGATAAGATATCCACCTGATCTTACCCAGCCCGAGCCCGACCCGGCTGTAGGCGCCTCGACAGTGGGAAATAAAGCGAGTCTCATGCCCGGAAGAACGTCCAACCCGGGCCTAGATTCCCGGCTCGACCCGACCCGCGGTCTATGCCGGGCCCGGGCTTTCGAGTTGGCCCGGACCCGTTTCCATCTGCAAGAGACCTTTTTAAATAGTGTGCGCCATGGCCTGGCCGCCATTGCTTGATCACGTGATCTGAGTATATGTTGAGCCCGTGGGCTGCGTCGCCGTTCGGTGGGGACTCGGATTCAATCTCGCGCTTCGTACCGATGAATTGGCGACCATAAATCTTCCTAAATGAATTTTTCAGAAGTGTACATTGTCTTTCTGCGGTTTCGAGAGAAGCAATAGTCAAACATCTGCAGATGAATGAATCTGACTGATCGAATAGCTAAAAGCTACGGAAAATCCGTACGGAAACATTTTTGGTGAGGCCGGGATTTGAACTCTGGATCTTGTCATCTCTGTAATGCGTATTGGCCGCTTCGGTAGCTCCGAGGCAAAGCGCCGGCTTTCGGATCCCCAGATGGCGGGCTCCAATCCCGGCCGAGCTGCGCGCAATCAGACAGAGGCTTATTGCGGAGAAGCCACCGTGTAACCTAGCTTTCTGTTGCACGTTAGAAGATCCCCATGTGGTCGCCATTAATCCCCAGACCTCCGCTCCAGGCGTGCCAGATGCCCGTCATTGGTTTGGCACGTAAAGCCCCCAAATATAACTGCTGGCTTTGAGGTATGCTTAGCCATTGAGAGCTCTAGAAGTGCAAAGAATGGTTTCTTATGTTCACGCTTCCAGCTTGGTGATTAGCTTTTGAGTGATTTAATCAGAAAGTTTCGCAATCTCATTAACTACACTATCACTTCACAGTCAGGAACATACTTCTATAACAGATCAGCTGAATCCCGCCTGACACAAATATAAAGGTCTTAACGTAAGCAGCAGGTCTAGGACTGGCTACTAGGTGTGGGCGAAGAACGGTTCGCATCAAATAGCGCTGCGTCATTTATAGTCTTTACAGCGCTGTGGAGACCGGTCAGATAGGCGCTCTTTTTGCAGTGACAAATATAAGAATGACACTGGCAGTGGCAATTAATCGGGACGATCTCCCAACACTCTTCTTTTTTACCTGGCTGATGCTTTGAGAAAAGAAAAGTACGCGCACACCTAGCGGGTGTATATATCGCCATGCGCAACTGCCATGCGGCCCTTCCAGATACTGTGCAAGCCGATGATCTAAGCCGTACGCTTCAGGTGCGGTTGTGGCAAAACGCAGAAAACATGTCCTGTCTGCACTTGAAGGAAGGTCCTTTTCTCAGAGTGCATTGTACAACATCCCTGTATCGGGCCCGTGAGAAAAAAAAAAATAAACCCGGCTTTTCGGCCCGTAATAAAAGACTGCGCTTCGCAGGAAGATGAAACTTTGTGTGAATGTGATGCTAGTGGTGGGGAAAGGACGCGAAATTTCGAACTCATAACGTTACCTGGATCAAAAGATAAAATAGTAGAATCAAATTTAAACCCTTCAGCCCTTCAGGTTATTTAGCCTTTCACGCCCCTTAGCGCCTTTCAGCCCCCTTAACTTTTCAACCATTCAGACGACAAAAGACAGCGATCCAAAGCCCAAAAATTCAGTTCTTTAATACATTATTGTGAGGACTAGTAGGCGGATAAAGAATGTAAAAAGGTTTAATTAAAAGAGAAGTGGGTTAGATGGCGGCATAACGCGCCGAGGTGACCAAGAACACCTGCACGCGCCAGTTCTTGAGCGCGTGGGCACGATGATTCCCAGACCGAATTGCGGGTTTCGCCGTCTGGCTCACATCCCACCCCCCTTTTAACCAACCCTGGTTCTCTTGAATTGTTCATTCCTCATGGTCATTAATCCATGTAGGCTGCTGAATGTGGCCCCGCAAACTACTAGAAGTTGACGGTGGCTCTTCTTCGCCTGAAGGAATGTGTGGGGTAGGGCTCACAACAGTTTCAGCGAAGGCTTCTCGATCACTGGTTCCACCAGGTTGCGAAGTAACGGGGATGGATCTTTCAAGGTGTAGGAGCGCAGGGTCCATGTATGGTGGACGGAACAGCTTAAGTTGGCTCGAGTGCACAACCTTCTCATCCCTGGATAAAGTGCTGGTTGCAGGAGCAGCAACGCGACGGACCACATAAGTGACCGGGGTTTTTTGTTCCGTAATTCGATAGAGACCCTTGAATGTTGGGGCCATTTTTGTCGTACCACTGGTGATGGCCTCTTGGCGCTAAAGCCATACATACTGGCCTACTTGAAAGGTGCCATCACGGTGAGTTTTATCGTAGCGATGTTTCCGCTGCTGTTTGGCTTGAGTAGAGTTTTGCTGCGCTTCCCTTCGACGTCCTGCGAGGTCTAGTAGCCTTGTTCTAAGGGTGGTAGCTTCTGGGCGCCGATACTTCTCCATGGGAAGTTTGGGGACATATCCCTGTAGCAGCTCAAAAGGCGAAACCTGCAGGTTGGTGTTCATGGTCGTTTTTACAGCGAAGGCCGCAGTACTGAGTTTGTCTTCACAAAGGAATGGCTTTCCGGTGGAATCCTCGTCTTTGTCGTCAGACTTGCTGCCTTCTGTTTCCGTTGCCCGTGCTAAGAAGCTGCATCTCCGACGGCGTGTCGCAAGTTCGGCTTTGAACCGAAACACTTCGAAACTTGCCGTAGTCTTCGCTATCAGCTGGCGACAAAATGCCATTCTTGACTAGTGCCTGCTGTCTGGGACAAAGGAGCTTGTCCCCAACGTCGGTGGCAAAATCATCTGAAAGCTGGGTGAACGCGTCTGCTTTCGCCGGGCTGAGGCCCTCAGCGCCTTGGCCTGTCTTTAAGTCAGCCTCTAAAGATTGATTCGAGACCGCAGTCTCATCTTCTGAAGTCGGTATCGTAGGTTCTTTAGCAGCAGAGATATCCTTTGAGGACTCTCCCTCTTTGACTTTGGAGATCTGTCGCTCGATCGCAAAGGCTTTGGAGCAGTCGAAAGCGCTTTCCTGCTTTTTGTCGGGACTGGCTTCCTCCCGTGTTACGATGAAGTTGGAGCCCACAACCTCGGCCTTGTAGCGCACTCTTCTGTCCGGCCTGCGCTGCTGTTTGGGCGGCGAGTCGCGCTTAGGCGTCGCCATGACCAGGTGGCCTCTGTATCCGGACGTATTGTCTCCTAGGCCCTGCTTTCGGGCCACGTTGAAAGTCTTGAGCAGGTAGAACTGTATACTCGCGGGTTATTCCTAAAGGGCGGTGCCCTCATGAATGTCTTATTGCTACTGCTAGCGTTACTATACGTGGAGCTCGCGGAACGTTCTGGCTTCACGGTCGTTGTCATCCGAGGCGGTTTCTTCGGCTTGGCTCCCCACAAGTCTGACTCGGGAACCTCCTGAGACCTGTGTATCGTCATGCCAGTCGGCTTGGCCTCGGTCTGCGCGGTTTCTCGCTTGGGCTGCAGAAGCGGCAGGGAGTCGTCCGGGGTCCTGTATATCCTCGCGGAGAACGGAAACGCGGTATCCTTGGGTCTGCACTGGAAGATGCCCGATCTCGGCGGCGGGCCCAGTAGGTTCGACGTGGTCGAAGCCAGCGACTGGCTCTTGGTCGAAGACCCGTTGGCTTGTCAGCCTTCGCTGCTGCGTACCCATAGGGTTGACGACTGTATGGAACAGCGTCTGGAATAAGGTCAATGCCATGCTCGCTTCCTTCGTACAGGCCCAGGTCGTTATCTTTGGTGGCAAAAAGGGGAATGCGTTGTTGCAGGACATGTTGAACTGCGGCGGACTCTTCTGGCTGTAGCTGTGTTCCAATCTGGGCATCACACAGAATGGAACTCGTCTTGTTGGTCTGAAGATTACTTGTGTCAGACGTCTTTTGATGGTTACTTCCTTGCTGAAGCAATCTTTCGTGGCATGCCAAAGCTAACCACGGTGGCTGGTTGGCATCTGGAATAGGTTCAAGCTGGAGTCCTGGGCCGGCTTGCTAGAAGAAGTGTCTCAGTTGAGACTGCTCAAAGAAAGCGCTGCCAAGGCTCGGGCGCGCGAGCGTCTGAGACTCGGCTTAAGCTCGAGCGCTAGCCTTGACAGCGCTTTCTTTAAGCAAGCCGGCCCTGTTGTCACTGGGACTGTCGGTGTAGCTGACGGTAGTGTCGCGGTGCAGAGACGAATGGCATTGGACATGCTCGGCAACACCTTCTCTTGGCACAAGGCAACACCTGTGCTGTGATGACGAATCTCAGTCGGGTTAGGTGGTCTCACGAGAAGTTCTGCGTGTGCAGCTTCAAACCAGTCCACGCCGAGGATCAATGGCAGGGGATTGCGTGCAAGAACAATCACCTCGACGACTGCAGAGATGGGTCCTACAGAAATGCGGGCGCACAGTGTACCCGATGGGACGACCGTGCCACCACCAACGACGGCAATGGGTGGCTTTGTCCACGGTAGCAAGCTTCAGGACTTGACGACATCGTCCGAAAGTATGGTCAGCTTGGACCCACTCTCCGGAAAAGCGTCAATCTTGCCGATGGCAGGAATGTCGGCTTGGATTATTGCACACTGGATCAGTGAGCCCTCAAGCGAATTAGGGTCTTGAAGGCACGACATGGAAGGGATATTAGCAGTGGAGTTAGCTGACTGACGGTTACGTGAAGTCCTTGCTTCAGTACACTTGGCAGAGAGATGACCCTTCTGTCGGCAGTTGTAGCATACGGCGTCCCTCAAGTCTTGGCAGGGACGGTAGGCGGGGCTCCATGTCTAGAAGTGATCGTAAGGTAGCGAGCATCCTCTTCATCTGGTGGGAGAGATGAAATGCGTGACGGCGATGCGGGCATGTGGTCAGCTCTCTCTGAAATGCTTGCTGCGAGTGAACTCTGCGTAGATGCCAGATACAGCTTGGCAACTGGAGGCTTGGCGTTTGAGTTTTTTGCGTGGATCGGTCGAAGAATGGGGTGGCTTGATGTCCGGTCAAGTTGTGTGACAAAGTCCATGTACGTACGACTGTTGGAGGGCGTTGCGCTGCAATGGATGTCGCCAACTGTCCGTTCTGAACCCCTTGAATAGCATACTCAATACGTTGGACGTCGGTCAGAACGACCGGGCACTTGGGGATGAGCTTTAATTTTGCTAGAGAGTAGTCCACCAGGCTCTCTCCACGTAACTGTACTCGAGAGGTGACCTTGTGCTGCCACTGCAAGAGAGATAACCTGTCGTCGAACTGCGCTTTGAACGCGATCTTGAAACTATCCCATGTTGGGCACTGACGGCCAGTGACGACTTTCCAGTCGGCTGCCGGGCCACAAAGCTTCCCGAGGGCGACTGCGAGCAGCGTTGAAGGTTCCCAAAACGCCAGTCCTTGTGTTCATTTCAATTCCTCAATCCAGTGTCGGGCTGAGATGCCTCCGTCGCCACTAAAAGTCGGCAGCGACGCGGACAAATCTGGGAAAGTCGTTACTTTAACGGGGGCCATTGGGCGTTGAGACATGTTGAGCAATTGTTGCAGCAAGCTTGTCAGCAGCTGCGTACTTTGCGCTGGGTCAAGAGTCTCAAGAGGAAATGACTCTTGCGAGCAATGCGCGGAAGTCGCAGGGTCGGGAAGAAGCTATGCCGGTGGCGTTGACGGTCTGTTTTGGGCGATGTCAGCGAGGAGGCGGTGGATGGTGTCCTCCTTGGTTCTGATAACTACGAGGTTCCGACGAAGTAACTAATTTCGGAGAAAATCCGCCTTAAGTCCCGCGAGGTCGTCGGCCGTAGCTTCGGCCCAATTTATAAGTGGCATGGTGGCTGGCGGGCACTAGGCGGGCTTGCATTTGCGGGCGGGTAAAGTACGAAGGGCAGGCAGGGCGGGTTACGTACTTCAGATTGTAAATTCAGGCAAGGCGAGCAGGCGGTGTGGTCGGGCGAGTGGCGGTCGGGGTCCCTGGCATTGTTGGCTCTCGACTGCGCCAAATGTGAGGACTGGTAGGCGGATAAAGAATGTAAAAAGGTTTAATTAAAAGAGAACTGGGTTAGATGGCGGCATAACGTGCCGAGGTGACCAAGAACAACTCCACGCGCCAGTTCTTGAGCGCGTGAGCACGATGATTGCCAGACCGAATTGCGGGTTTTGCCGTCTGGCTCACATTATTAAAATTAAAGGGGTACTCCGGCGATTTTTTTCTGGTCGCCGATTTGCCTCAAAATTGGCTCAGCAGACCGATAAACACGGCTCTACCAGTTCCCCAAGTATAGTGTAAAAAGAAAAACATTTCGTAAAGTTATTGAATTTTTCGAATTTCGTTTTCATAGCGTTTCTCAAACAGGGAGGAGCCCCTAGTGGCAACTTTGCAGTGTGACGACAAAAATGGTACAAAGTGGGCATTAAGCCATGTCCCCAACTGATTACAAGACGTTTGATGGCAGAAAAAGAATGCTTGGTAGCTGATTCACTGAGAAGCACACAAAATACAGTCGACATACTCTGTTTAGGACTGCCTGCACGACCTGAAAGTCTGTGCAATTTGTGATGTCACACGACTGAATAGCGCGCGGAAATTTGAATGATAGTTCCAGCATCATCTTCATTTACGGTTTTCTCAATCGCTATTTTGAATTTCGAGAAAATAAATAGCATACCATGCAGACGAAAGTCCGGGTAGTCAGAAAGTGCAATTTGTTTGGGTAGCTCAAAAAACGGCAGGATTACCCCTTTAAAATTTTACAAATTGAGCTTTAAAGGCATGTTTAAACATTAAAAAAAGCTATAACCGATGTGTACTCAAACTCGGCCGCAAGCAGCCGTGTATAGGAGCAAACAGAGAAAAAGAAACCATCGACCGTGTTTTTTTTTTTTTGCCGCCAAAATATCTTTCAAGGTAGTCATAATGCCGACGGGTAATTTCCTTAGATGATTGGTACTTCAACTCTCAAAATAACCCACAGAAAATGTTAAAAACGTTGAGATCCTATCGCGTTTCGACGTAGACTGCAGCGAAGCGCTCCAGAAACAGCCCATATTTTTTCTGTGGGTGTGTTATTCTCTTCAAATCTAACAAAGCGGAGAAAGTGCGCCATAACGTTGAAATTTCAGTGTGCCATTGTGACAAAAATTCCACAGCTGCCAACTGAGGGCAAAATAAGTCGAATTTAACGTTTGGGTCTAGACAGTGTAATATCGGTTTGCCTTTGAGGTACGACGACACGGGCTTGCGCTGAAGGTGAGAAATTTAGCCAGTGCAGTACGACGGCTAGACTAGGGTCTACTACATACAACACAGAGCAGGGATCTACGACGCCAGGGCAGTGCGAGGCTCACCAAGATACTTCAGAATGGGGTTTGTTGTAACATTGAAACAAGCAAGGGTCACAACATTCTGCATACTCGCGAATCAGTCGGCAGCGCATGCATGAGAGCGCCTATTCCGTTTGCGCATGTTTTGCATGATACGCATGCCTCCATGAACCTTAAAACAATGGCGGTTATTTCTGTTCCCGCAACAGTGGGACCTCAAAGGGCGGAAGTATGGGAAGCATTGCAGTATTTTTTTGCACGTGCGGAGCATAGACTTTCTTCATCCAATCTCGGTTATAGTCACTCAAAATCTACCAACGGCAGAAGGAGCTTCAATTGTAGCGCCCTCCAGCCAACACCACCGAGAATAATCGAAACCCCCGTACCGCCTCCTCTCCTTTAAGAAACGTCATCGCAGTCGGATGGCGCTAGTCCGACCTTCGACGCGCTAATTGAGCACGAGCCCCGGCCGAACACTGACGCAGTACTCGTGCCCAATCTCAAGCCTCGATCGATCTGACTGTGATCACAGTGCGGAGGCCTTCTGCTGATCCAGGTGCTGTTGCTCAAGCTCGAGCTTCTCACCTTTGACAATGCTTCGGCGTCTGGTGCACCTTGAGCGCGCAGTGAAACCACAGAGGAAGGCATGAAGCACATGCTGAAGGCAAGTAGTCCGAATGATACGCCACGCCGTGTTCACTCTGCCATTCAGCATAACACTGCACATGGGAAAAATCCCCACCCCTGCCCGTTTCGATCTGGATGAGCATCGTACCGGCGTACGGTCGTGTATCAATACTGCGTGATGCACGTTAAAGACCCCAGGCTAGCGGTTGTACTGCACTGGCTAAATTGCTCATCTACAGCTGGGAGACTCATCGCCCCTGTGAGGCAGATTAAGTTCTAGGCTGTATAAACATACACACAACCCAATTTTTTTTTTCGCGGGATTTGGCGGTAAGCAGCCTATTTGTACGCATAAAAAAGAAGCTTATTTCCTTCTAGCTAACGGACCATAAGTCGTTGTTCTTTTTTTGTAATTTAAAAGATGGCATGTTCCTCTACCTCTTACAGCTTTACGATAGAAAGAACAAGGACTATACAATTGGACAGACTTTTTCATTCCATTTCTATGGAGTAAACACGACAATGGACAAGTTATCGGAAACGGAAGGCTTTGTTCCAAGAGCGTGTTGCAATAACAACGATACAAGACAATTGCGACTACATATTGAACGTAAGTACTAGTATTTATAGTTCATACTCACTTTTTTAATATTATATTTTAGTCTAGTCTGGGCAGTAGTGGGAACGTAAATAAAAAATATATTATGGGCCCGCAAAAATACAACAATGAACAAAAACGATATCCTGCTGACTCGAAGCACTTACTTGATCAATCTGGACTCGAAAATGCTTTTAATTTTAGAACGGTTGAACGGAACAATTATGTGAATTGAGGGGCGCACCTCGAGGTGCTTCGATGAATAATAAAACTGCATGAGCCTTTAATTAACGTGACACTGCACTTTGAAGTAAGACGATTGAACGAATGTGCGATCTTCTGTAAAAAATAGCATTTCCGAGAGAATACCTAATGCACCGTCCGAACACAATGACAATGGAGATGACAGGCTGCTAGGGAGGTTGCCACTCCGACAGTTTTCGCCATTACGACAGAAAAATAAACTTTGGCGGCCGAGCATTTGCCCTCGGGTTTGCCGCTTTTATATTTTTAAAATAAAATTTGGCGGCCGAGCGTTTGCCCTCGGGTTTGCCACTTTTATATTTTTACGTGTTTATCCAACTCAAACCCAGTGGCGAAAGAGGAGTGCTATACTTCGTCTCATCCTATGATGGACTAAAGGTCAAAGTCACGGGCCGCCAGGTTCAATCACGTTTCACGCTACACTATTACATGCCTAGCATTGATTAAGGATGGACGAATAATGCTCCGAACCCCAAAAGCGCTGCATCATTTCTATAGCTTCGATACTGCAAACAGCCTCGTTTTTGCAATGCAAAATTGTTGAGTCGCTCCCTGCTATTCCATTTGAACCACTGTCCACCCATCCCAATCAGTGATCCGAGACGCGGGCACTAATACGTGCATCAAAGCGCAATACGCAGTTTCTAAGTGGCTCGTGATTGGATCTGACGGTCCGTAGCTTTTGCCTTTAGTCCATCGTGAGACAAAGCATAGTTGGTGCTTCCGTGTACAAAACAGACAAAGTCGACGGAGGGACGTTAAATAAAACGTCATCGTTCACAAAAAAAGCTATTTGCTTCATTGATTTGAGCTATAGGTCTATTAGCCTAGGGCTTGCTGAAATTAAGGTGTTCGAAACGCATGAAGTCACAGGCACACCCCAGGATTCCAAGTCTCTAGAGGCATCGGCTCTCGTACTTGCATGCCAGTTCTGTTTTTGCTTCTTGGTGTAGGATTGAACTGTCTGAAAGACCAATTAATCAAATCAGGAGGTAGCAGAATAGAAGAATATGCACAACCGGAATGATCGCGAAGGGTATTGGCGTATTTTATGGACGTTTGTTTGAAAAGTCGCTAGTTCCAAGTGAAACACGAGCAAGCGTCAATAGTTACTCACAGCTTAAAGGAGCCATGATATTATTTTTCTACTTTCGCTAAATATTACTTAGAATTACTTCTTAGAGTTAATAAATTTACAAACTTGCCCTAGCTTTTTTTTTCTTGTTTTTTTTTTTTTTTCTACGCAAGAGGAAGAGCATCGTTCATCCCCTCGAGAAATATGAGCATCGTTCATCCCCTCAACGTCGGAGCCAGAACAAGCTGCCATATGGCGTGATGCTTATCCTATCCCGCTAACGCTAGTCATGGCCACGCCCTGGGGCTGGCAAAGTAGAAAACGCGTGCTGAGCTCCGGTCTTTGTCAGAGTTCGGCTATTCTTATCACCGCAGTAGTTTGATGCGAGCCACTACCCGAGTGTCCGCCGAGGCATTGATTGTTACGAGCCGAAGTCGAGTGCTCACGCAGTCTTCTTGTCTAATCCATTAGCAGCACTCGACTGTCTTCAGGTGGTAATTTTTATTCTACAATTACGCCACCAAGTTTCGCGAAGGCAAGATTGAAATAGTCCCTTTTATCCTCGCAATTTCTCCCAAGAAAGAATCTTCTGAATCATTGGCGGTCTGTTCGAGCATACAAGGGCCACACCAGGACCAGTACGCCTCTGCAAAGTCATGAACATTGCAACGCGATACCTTTTCATGACTCCATTAAAGGATGCAAGATGTGGCGAGTTTCGAGCGTCCTGTTCTCGTGCCGCAGCCAACGAGAGTGCAGCATTGGTTGATAAGAGCGCCGCAGAACCAATCACGAAGCTGTAAGCATGAATGTAAGAGTCCACGCCCTGCGATTCTTGAACTGCTTGCGACTATAGTTTGAGTTAAACCCGGAGAATGACATTGCAATTACCCCGTTCATGGGCACGGTCAAGCACATGACTAGGGGTATTGTATTATCATTTTTGGGAATTGCGAAATCGTCCCTCCCTCCTTTTTTATAAGAGTCTTGCCTCTACATATCAGGGTAACAAACCCGTAAAAATCTATTGGGTTTGAGGTTTTGAACTCACGCAGGTGTGACAGAAGTACACCCACATGCAACGCCAATGAGCGAGGTGCTTTTTCATCGCGGTGCATTTTGAATGTTAGAAGCAGACTGTTTCTTTTAATGTCTCTTTCGCAAATCTTAGTGATGTAGTCGCGGGTGCACTTCCAGGATTGCGATTGTCTTGTGCGGCCCGTAGATTTGACACCATCACTTCCCGAACACTCAATTATATTTTATTCTAGTTTATTAAACAAATACAATACTGCCCTCCAGGCCTTGGTTGACATTCGGATAAAAATGACCTGAGGACACGTGTTTTGTGCACTGCAAATTCAAACCCGTGCATATGGTGAACATTGGCGGCAGATCACGCAGCGGCTTGTACTAGCTAAGAAATAAGTACAATTTTTTATTGCAGATAATGCCTGAATCAGGCTGCATAATAAAAAAAAATCTATATGATTTTATTCGTGATTTAACCATACCAGTTTTACAATGAGGTCTTGAAACAAACAATTCCTGCAAAAAGATCCACAGAAAAAATATTTTACACCGATTACATACCACTCAATGCTATCATGTGCATTTGTTTTGTATTTTGACCTTCCCCACCGCCCCCCCCCCCCCCCCCCCCCCCGCCCCCTTACAGTCACCCGTGACCAAGGGACCGAGCGGGTCCCGAAACGTCGCGTTGATATGTTTTTAATAAAACTTTGGTTAGAGTCCGCAAAAACTATGTCAATTTCTCCCTAACCAGACAGACTCTGTCGAAAATGTTTACGTAGGAATCATCAAGCAAGACATATTTATATAAGGTTGAACACGAGTAAAAAAAAAAGTGCTCTTTTGAGCAAATCTGAACGTTGATTTTGGATTCTATCTTCGATCTCGTTCGTCAGATACGCAACGTCCTATAGCAGCAAATTGAGAACGGAAAAGAAAGAGCAAAAAACTAGAAATTTAATATCCTATTGCAATTAAGTGAAACTTGAAGAAAAAAATACTTACTAAAAGAATCCCAATGTCTTTTCCTATTTTATGGCGAGGATTAGAGCAATAAGATGCTTCTCATTACACTGCACGTTACGTTTACACTATTTCTTCCCGAATATTATCAGTACTCGAACAAATTGATTCATTATTCTGCCGGGTTGAACAATCCATCTACTGGTAAATAATCACTGGTTTCTTGCTACACTGAATTATTTCAGATTAATGTTAGCTTAATAATACAAATCTAATTAATTAAACAAAATAAATATGATTTTTTCTTAGTTAAACAAATTGTGACTTCTTTCCCTTTGGCCCGAATCACCCGTTTTAATGACATTTCCGCGATACGTCATTGCTAGTAGCCCGGAGCGACAAACGCACTGATGCTCGATCAGAGAACGCCGCAATTGGAGGACGCCTGCGTCTTCGCGTCGTCGTGTGCTAGTGTTGCGCTCGTGGTGAAACACTGCAGAACGCACTAGTGGCGACGCTCACGCGAGCTAGGCGGCGCTACGTGTATCCACGAGTGACGACACGTGGTCATGGGGAGGTGGGAGTTTTGTTTTTTAGGTGGAATTGAAGGACTCCGGGATCCCTGGGTTCTGCAGCATGAGCTTTTACTTCACATACTCCGGGCTGCGCGGTGTTTTCTTAAAAGTAGTAGGTGCCTTTGTGGAAACAGTTTTCACAACGTCGTGCAGGAGTGTTGACGCAGAGCACAGTTCTTGACATCAATCGAGACTTCAATGGGAGCAATACTATGCAAGAATAAATTTCTGCGCCAGATATCCCATGAGTGACCCACGCGCTAGCGTGAACCATCAGGCAGTCGTGTTTCCAGCAAGTCAGCACAGAAGTTATGTTGAATGTCGGCATTGACTTGCATGCGACACCCTTAATCTGCTTCCACATAGATTCCAGTTAAATTAACGGTTCACACATTTTTTTCTGGAACAAGTCAATATTTTATGGGCATCGGGTAATATATATGAAGCGCCAGGTCTGTTCGCTTTGTTTTCTGTTTTTGTTATGTGGAACCCGTAAGCGTTATGCGGATCATACGGACGTCGTTCCACTTACCTGCTGCACTTTCGCGCCAACCTGTTCCACTTAAAGCCTCCCAAAAGTGAACTTTCTTGTCCTTTTTTTACTTTTATCGCGTTTCAGTTAAAATCTTTTGTCGGTAAATCCCGGCAGGCCGAACAAAAACGAGAGAAATAAACCAAGAACAAATGCACACCAAAGGAGGCGGCAAGCGTTCAGAAAGGCGCCAACAAGAGCAGCAAAACACATACAGAAAAAGAGAGCTTGATGACCACGTCCTCGATACGACTAAGAAAATAGTTCCGGTGAAGGCCCTTGCTTTGATTAGGAGTTTTCGTGGTATGGTTAAGAGCGGCTCGAGAGTTATGAAAGCGGGTATCGGCGGATAGTTTCAGGCTGATTGACCTGTTGCAGCATGCAGCTCGCCCGCGCGCCGAAAGTTGCGGCGGTTGCGGTCGTTCCGCTTTGTTGATGCGATGGTTACCACGTCAAGCAAACCCGCCGACTTGTCATTTGTGCTGGGCTACTGTGGTGCATTATGCGTTTTGGCTGTTTGACGTTGATAATTTCTAACAGCTTCACTTGTGATTATGCTGTGTGATCTCAG